CATGTATTAGCCGGTTATCTCCCAATAGATTCGTGACATTGTGTATACCCGAGATTTGACTCACATACGAGAAAATTCTTGTAATTTAATATTTTGAATAATCCCCGCATTTTCAGAATAATTCTTTATCTCTATTCAGTGATTTGAATGTGAGCGAAACGATAAGGAAATTTGACAATAAGATGAGGCGTCAAAGTGAGCACGTACCGTAAATCTAAATGATTGTACCCACAAAAGTTTGAAAGAAGGCTTTGAGGCAGCATAGAAAGAGAATCTTGAAGAAGAGGAATGATTTCACGGGAAGCGTAGTGATGATTCCTTTTCAGTTGATCATTTTACATAAAAGGATGAAAAAAGACTAGGGGTTCAACATCCTTCCAATGGGATTAAATGTGATTTTCTTCTTTTCACCTCATCAGTTATCAGGGTGGACCGGTTGATATGTGGGCTCTAGGTGTTGTCCTGTTCTTTCTACTCACTGGCATGCTTCCATATCGCGGTTCCACTGTCGGTCATGTGCGTCGTCTGGTGTTGGAGAATCGCGGATTACAACCACCTGACTGGCTTTCAAAAGGTGCTAACACGCTGTATTTAAAACTGACCGCAAGGCAACCCAGTGATCGTCCATCTGCGGCCGCACTTTTGCGATATGCACAATCGGACGCGCAACGCCATCACTCCGGAGCTGCTTCTGAGAACAGTCTACCACAACCACCAGTGGACGAATCGAATACAGAATTACAACCATGGATGACCTGGCTTTCTGGTCAAATCTTCCCGAAAGCGTTACCGCGATTCAACAAATGCCCACCGGTATGTTCGTGTAACCTAATATTAATCCTGTGCACTGAAATGTTTTCCTTAATAATCCAAGAACTGCAGATTATCGAAAATCATTGATGCCGTCGAACACGACGGTTTTTATAGTGCAATTCAATGTGCGACTTCTTAGTCCCATCGATTTAGAGTTTTAGATGTAATTGGTGTTACAATAGTTGCATTACGGCTGAAACTACTCATGAGTAATTAAAACATTTTTAACAACTCGATGCACTGGACTCACTTGACCCAAATTGATACAAAATCTTACTCTAAGGAACGCTGATCTGCGAGTTCAGACATTGTGATCGCACCTCGGTGATACTGCGATTTCATCTTTTGACATCAAATTTAAATCATGGGTGATCGATAGTCGAAACAGAAGTGCTCCCAGGAGTAAATAAAATAAAGCTAGTGGCAAATTCACCATTACTTGCGCTTTTATGAGGACATCGGTGTAATCCTGAATGTGAACAAACGTGACACCTGATGAAAAGTGGCTATTAGAAGGATCGAAATTGATGCATCAAGACAGACGAATAACAGTGATTTTTTTATGTACGGGAGGTGTAGGTCGCGTTGGAGGATTCAGTGACGATAACTACTCTCACTCACATGAAGTCAAATAGACAGTTTTAACCTTGTGCTTGTGTTTGAATTACATATCGCTGTGATTGCCATTTCGACTATTCTTTTCTAGTCTCGGTACGGTAGTCGACTGAGAATGTTTCTCTTGGATTAGCCTGTTTCTTGATTTTGAATGCGTTTTCCCATTGCCTTTTATACCCCCAGTAAAATGTATTGTGAAACTGGTGCACTGCGTTTTTCTCTTAGTTCCGCCGATGCATCGGTATATGCAGGTGCTGATGAAACTAGGGCTGTAGAAACGGTGACGGATCTGTTCTTGGGTCTAATGTAAAAATCAAGGAAGTTCGAGTTTTATGCAAGGAACTTACGCGTATCGAAGGAGATGGTCATTTTTTGCCTGTATCCTTGACACAAGCCTCATTGTGTGACTGGTATGTAAACTATCCCATCGTAGCGTTATTTATTTATCCTCCAACTTTTATCACAGATCAAGCTATGGTTTTAGTTATGCAGTTTCAGATATTCGGAATGTTTTACACATGTATGATATATAGCAGACGGGGCGGACCTCATAGGCACGAAGACCTGCTGTTCAATCATGGAAATCCATAACCCAAGCCCCGGGACTCGGTGAACCACATAAGGCCCCGATAGGCTAGGTTTGTCATTGAACCGGACGACAGCTAAGTTGAGTGGTGGAGGTGGAGTTCGAACCGTGTACTACAGGATCCAATAAATGCTGGTGACAATGAATAAGCCACTGCGCCACCACTACCGCAAACCGGTCCCTTTTGTGTTCCTCGTTTTGCTGTAGAGCAAACGACTTGAAGTGGTCACTCTTTATTAAAAGTCAGTTGGAAAAGTTTCTGAAGGCATGTGATGTGACTAGAAGTGCAATGTGAGCAGGGGCAAACAACAAACCTCTATCGTACATTGAACAGTTTTGCATTAACTAAATCTCAACCTTTTCGTGGAATTCGAAGAAATCTCAATTCTACCGAATCAAAACGACCTTTTGTCTCAGTTATTGAGCACAAAGACATATGCTCATCGTTCACCTTCCTCCATCCGAACTACAAGAAGACAACTGATGGGATATTTGTAAACTGCTCTGTCTCACTCAACCGATTGTCTGGCCGTGTTTTGATTATTGACTGCCCATCACTTTACTTTGCCAGGTAAGATGAATATCATAATATGTCACACCAAAGATGTATGCGAAACTGCAGTGAGAAAACACAGAATAAATATTCTATGAATCTCAGAAAAGGAAGAAGCAAAAGAAAGCCAATACAGGCCAGTAAAATAATTTACTTTACAGGCACTGCCCCAGTGATCAGTTGCATTTAAACATCATTCAACGCATCATCAGCATCATGCTACAGTAAAATAAAGTGAAGCCGCCCAACTTCTAATACATACTTAGGTAGTGAGAATGTATACCGTAGACAAAGAGGGAGAAAGTGAACCCCTATGGGAAGGACGCAGAGTGCATAAACTTATTGTTCATACAAACATTTTTCAAGAATTCTGATAGGATAAGAAATAAAGAACTCCACTTCAGTCAGTTATCTTCCATGCCCAACCAACTAGTTGCAGTCTTTTTCACCGCAACCTAGAATGCCAAAAACACTTACTCTACCCCAGTCATTCAATGTATTACGTCGCAAAGCTAAAACGATTCACACATTAAACGCATGCAGCATATATGGTTGGAGGAAAAGCATATTTTATCAAACAATTTTCCTTCCAACTTTTCAGAACTTAAACACAAAATACGGTTAAATTCTACTATCTATTTATGGTTTTAAAATCCAGGAATATTTACAATGTTGTTTTCGCAGAACACATAAGTAGACACACCGACTTAGCGGTGAACAGCACATTCGCTATCACCCTTCTGGTTTGAAGTGCCTTGTTAAGCTCTCAACTCGTATACAAGGGATTCGAATCCAATGGGGTGAAAAGCTATTCTAATGGATGGTTTTATTAAGCATAACAGTGGCTTTAATAGTTCTGTAATCTTTGCGAAATTGTGACTGATCACTCTTGGCGGTTGCGAACGTAATTTGCGCGTTTAAGGAGGTGCTGGTATGGAAAACCTGGGTTAGTGTGTATTCGAAAAATGATAGCTCAATGTGGGATGGCTGAAGCGGTTACCTTCTTGCTGCTAAGCTGAACTTATATTATGGATTAACTGTATTCGTAAACATGTGTACTGTGTGAAATTTACATGTCCTCTTATCTGCGTGTCCTCGAAAACTGATAGAAATAAAGCAAACAAACTGTGACTGGCACATCTAAGTCTTGATTCCATCGAGATCATACTAAGGAGAGAAACTGCACATCTAGGAGCCATGAGTTTTCAGGTACAGACAATTCTGATGTCGTTCTAGTTAAATATACTGGGCATCGTAGTTTTCACATCTATGTAGCGGATTACTGGGATGCACGCGATTGTTCCATTGGCTATTTATCACTACACTTCGGGTTAAATTTAGCCATGCGATAACATGCATTCCATTACTGTCGTTCATGTTGAGCGTCACTCACAATTACACTCACTCACAATTGTCCTCAACTTTCATGGTTTGAATGGAATAAGATTTCATTTTTTTAAACGGATCAGCAAGTTATTTGTATTATTTCCACCAGGTTGCGGTATGAAATTGAGACTAGATCAAGGTTATTCGGTCTAATCTGTGTATTCCGATATGAATTTATACACACACACACACACACACACACACACATACTCGAGCGTCATAAACTCGTAAACAGATTCCAGTAAGACAAATCACGCATGGACCGCATGGATCCAAATCACCTTACGCAAAACACATTTACCAACTTTGTTCAACCACAACCATACATACACACACCGAACAATCCATTCTATCGATCATCCGCTATAATGCAGGAGACGTAATAACCCTAGTGGTATTGGTTAACACTTATCTAAACCTGACTCGAATTATCTCCGGTTTGGCCTATTTGTCTCCATTATTCTCTTCTGAACAAAGAGAACTGGATGAGATAAAACAACACGAAATATGCTTCCATAATACCTATCGAAGGAAAAAAATATGCAAAACAGTGGTTATGTATCAATAGCTCTTCTCAGTATGACTGCAAATAGTCCACCAAATAACCAACAAATCGTCGAACGTAATTAGTAAAATAGTTTTGATCAATAATTGAACCATGATTATGAGCTACAATAGATGCAATCCACTTAATGGGAATCCTTGGACCTAGGACCAATTGACTTTGAAAATAAATCCAGAATATGAATCTAATGAATAGTGTATTGTTTTCCCTAGACGTGTCCTCACTTTTCCCCAATGTGCCGCTGATTGAAACGATTCATTATCTCTGTAATTACATAGTGCGAAACCAGATAAACACCGTGATTTCGATATCAGATCTCAAAGAACTAGTTTTGCGTTGCACAATGAATATTCAATTATTATGCAATGGACACATGTGCTGCCCAGTCGATGGTGTGGCCATGAGTTCACCATCACCATCGAAGCGACTATAGCTATCCAGTTGAGAGATCTTGTCTTTTAGTTCACGGTTTTCCAACTTAGCCATAAAGACGTCTGCTAGTAATGGGAGAAGTGATGAACTCACGGCCGCATCATCCACTGGGCGGTACATGCGTCCACTGCATTAGAATTGAATGTTCATTGTGCAACGCACAACTAGTTCTAATTGTTCTGTGGTCAAAGTAACATCCGACAAATTTTGAACGTATTCTTCAGGATTCCTGAGAAACACGGCAGAAGCTGCTTGTTCATTCAGTGAGGAAATTAAGAATAAACGCTTCTTCTTAATTCTACCTTTGGTCACAGTGGATGTATATGTCGTCAATTGATTCCTCATACTCTCGGATAAATTGTCCAGTGTGGATTCTCTCCATACTACGTTTCCCTTTACTTCATCGGTTCGTGATTGGATAGATTTGAAATAACTGTTTCAAGTTTTTCTTAAATTTACAATATTCGAGTTGATCCGGCTTCGTCTTGAGATTTTCCAAAATTGCTTCGGATATCGATTCAACCTAAAACATTCCTCATAAAACGCTATCAAAGTTCTCGCTTCTTCGAGCCTGACGCTGAATTTCAAATATTCATTGAGCATCTTAAACGTCAGTGGATCCTCGGATAATCATATTTTTTGAAATATCCCCACTGATACGGTGAAGCCGGCGGCTACATCAGTCGTACCAGTTGGCAGTTGACTAAACGGATTCAAGAGCATCATTCGGCCTGGTTGAGAAAAGGACTATGAAAGGCTATTTGTAGCTCAATTGTGGAGCATGTTATCAACAAAGGGCATGCGGTAGGTGTTGAAGGGTCATTTAAGGTCAGCTGTAGAACGCCGATGCATGTAGCCAAACAACTGCGGCAGATTATGATGTGCACGACCCAGGCGGTGGCCATTCGTATCCACTACCCTGAACTGTGCAAACTAAAGCGGACTGTTCAGATATTGAATATGCCATAGCCCGACGATATGACGTAATTGATCGTTATTCAGAAAATCAAACGATGATGGAATGACTGCGTTACATATTAAGCTATATCAAGTGATAACAAGTTTGTAAATCCTTCCTCCCACTCCGGTTTAAATTCTAAATCATGACTCTTGTTGCCACCTTGTAATAATATTTTATTTCTCTCCCCAGTTTACCTTTCCGATTACATCATTTGCTTTGCATGGCATATAGATTCTAGGGTATCTTACCCGCTCTCGCATCTTAGCTCACAACCTTCATTTTAATGTGCCCAGCACTGTTTCCATTTGACCTTTGTCCTCTCACCCCATCCACGACTATAGCATTGACTATCACTAACCTTGTCATATTCATTTGTTCTGTTCGCTCGCCTCTGCCATCATTTATAACTGTGCTTTCATCGGTCAATCAGATATCTGTACTATGATCACAAAATCTTTGATCAGTAATCAGTAGAGTTCAGTCCATGTGACACGAAAATACAACACATACACAGTGCACCCCCACAATGCAACACACGTGGATTGCACACAATGATAAGTTACACTGTGAGTCAGTAATCTGTAAAACAATGCTGCCAAACAAATGTGGTGGGTAGGTCATGGTGTTTTCACTTCAACACAATACTTATAGGACAGAACTCCAAAGGACCTAACCCCATGTCCAGAGACATGCAAAAATAAGATGAATCATGAAACATGATTAAGCATAAAGTTGTACATAAATGTGTTCTTGCGTGTGTATAACGAAAGTAGCCTCGACAAAAGGCAACAAATAACGTATAGCCATGGCATTCAGAAATTTTCAAGTAAAATGGTATTATTCCGATTAGAAACTGCCTGTAACGAAAGCTGAATTAGTTTGCTGATAGTAAATCATAAAATAGTGTACATCACTTTCATATGTAATTCAAGTTTGTTGTTATGTTACTTTGGAGTGAGTGTAACTCAGATAGGTGGTTGCGAAAACTTTGTTTACTTGAAAGACAGAGAGTAGGATATCCTGTTGCTTTTTATTTATGTTGGCAAAGTCAAATATGCTTAGTTGTAACAATGCGTATCCTATTAAGCTTTTGCACAAATGAAACCCTAACAGCTTATTTGTAGTTTGAGACAGAAGACCGTCGCTAGACTGGAAGAAACACGAACTGAAGCAACCAACACAACCCTCACCTCCACCTCAGCCACCACCAATGCCACTACCGCTGCCACCATGAACACGAACGCCTCGACCACGACCAATGTCATTGTGACCGCCATCGAGAATAACATTTCCCCGAGCAACGCAAGTAGCACAAAGGACGAAGAACAGAAAGAAAACTCTAAAGCTGTAGATTTGGGAGTCACATCTGAGGATAAAGATGCAAATCTTCCATTGCACTCATCATTAGCTGCAGTAGAAACGGAACCATCACAACCCAGTTTCAACAAATCCAACCAGTCCATCTCGGGTCATATCGTAGCTTCAGATGAAGCAGAAGTGGAAGCCGCTCGAATGTTGCTAGAATTAGGTGTCACCCGTGAGGAGATAGCAGCGCCAGAGAATCAGGTCGCGAGAAGTGCAATTACAGGCGCGTATCGGATCATGCTGCATCGAGCACATCGGTAAGTCAGGAGTGAGAAAACAGTGCAGCAAATAATGAAGCTTTCAGTAAACTCATCGATCACGAGAGGAATACAAAACAAGCACAGTTTGTACATATATGGAGAAGTATTTGCTGATAGTCAACATTTGTTATTTTACTATCTTAAACCATTCCATTTACACATGTCCTCTGCAAGACTTCCTAAAGGTACAATATTTATCGAGGCAGGTATTAGAATTAGATCAAACGTGATCGGTCTATAACTGATAATAGCTGTATGAGATCTTTGACTAGGGCACTTGGTCAATAAGGTTGCATTAGCGATTCCATAAGGTGATTTAGTGATCTGCGTAAACAATAGTTGAAGAAGGTGGATGATATGTCAAAGTTCGGGGAAAAATAAGGATTAACACCATGTAGCATCTCAAACGTTTGCCATTTCTCACTTGTTCACTGCCTTTACATTTTGCCACAAAGCTTGGCTGATCAGTAGCTAATAGGGTGAACCCTATGGGTACAGAGAAATGTTCACTCATGATAACCGGGAACCGAGTTACTGTGGCTTGGAGGGGCAAACTACGAGAGGCATCACTAGGATGGGATGGTACCGATCAGCACAAAATCAAGCATCAAAGTTGAATGGCAATGACGGGGTTTAAACCTCTGACCTTAGCCGCCGAAGCAACCTAGTGAAAACTAATTAAACCTCATGATAACCCTCACCACCCTATAAATGAATCCATGATGCATATGAGATTTGGTTCCACGAATCACGTTATTGGGTGTATTGGATGGAGGGTTGAATCCGCGGAGTGGTGCAAGACAGTACTAATCCATGGTCCTGTAATTATTGTGCTTCTCTACCACATCTCTATGTTGGATACACATTACAAAGTTCATAGTGAAGAAATTTCTTAGAGTAATTAAGAATAATAACAAATTATCCTTATTATGTGTGTTCATCATGTTCCTTGAACACCTAAACTATCCCTACCAGTCAGTAACGGAACAAAAATAGGAAACCTTTTGAAAGAAATAAACTTATGCAAAGTTTTATGATATCATTTGTTTTCGCGAAAGGAAACTACACTCCAAAAACGATTTCGTTCTAAACCCAACTATTCAGCGCCCGCCGTATGAGCCATTTGGATCCGTCTGTGCCTGCAACAACGGACAGCCCAGTTGGTATTCCTAATTCCATTTCAACACCTCTCATCCATTCTGGTCCATCCGCTTTGATAGACCACAGCAAAAAGCGTTACCGAACAATGAGCCCCTGCCGAACGACAGATCGGACGAGACGTCGACCGACAAAAACCAGTCGCTTTTGCGTTATTCTATGATGCCCAGCAGTCATTTTTCCTCGTCCGTTCATTCTCATCGTCACACGCAGCCTTTGATTCCACTTTCCCTGCACACACGTATCCAGTGTGACTTTTTGCGCCAAAGAGACGGAGAAAAACAGAAGCGCCATTTTCGTAGTGTACAAGAAACGTAGTTTTCATAACCTTCACGCCTCCCCACCTCCAAATGCGTACTCGTTCTTTGAATACGACTCTGAACGTCACACTATACCAGCCAGATTCAGATAATAAGCTTAGTCTACCATCCCCATTCGAAGATTAGCATTATTCTTTTAATGCGCACACATTAACTCGTCCACCAATACCACAACCACACCTCCTCAACACACAAAAAAGCAGCATGCATCGGGCTAAAACGATGTTTGTTTCTCACTTTGATGCAGTAGTTATTGGTGATCAGGTGCAGAATTGTGAATGAACGACAGTAACGCGTTGGCCTAGGTAACCACAATCCTGGATCGCGCTGGTCAGCGAAATAGGATAACCGGTACACTAACATGAGTGATGTCCGCACACAGTTATGCACATGCCCGGAGCATTGTCATTCACATCCAGTCAGTATTATTTTGCATACGATTGGTTGTTTGCACCACACACATACATGCGGGCCAACAAAATGCATAATAAACCGGGGAGATGACAGCTTTGTTGTTTTTCCTTCTGACGGTTAAATATATGCGGTGAACACTAGTCCAGGATCCCGAGAGGTCTGAGGGTCGGTAGTTAGTGCTCACCTCACACATTCTTATCAAAGCTTGTCCTAACGGGAGAGCAGGTAAGTGGCAACGGTCTTTTTTGGTGGCGGACCACGTTCGCACACATGACGATGCAATTAGCAGACATTTACGGATTTTAAAAGAATTATCGGTTGCCAGCCGGAGACCCTACCTCGTCCTCTAGCATCACCGCAGATCGCCCATGACCGATTATTCACTGGAGTGACCCCTACCTGTTCGCGGTTAACCAGTAAGGTGGCCGTTCTCCTATCCACGACCTGGAGACTTTCTCGGTAGCATTCAGCTGTGCTTTCCGTAGACAATCCCTTCGCTACGAGTCAAGCATATACCACTTTTTTATCTTGATCCTGCAGAATAGGATTTTTGTCGTCTATTCCAAAAAGGCTGGTGAATCCTGTCAGATCTGATTTCTCGGAAGGTCTCCGGACTGGAATTCATATAAATTGTCGATAATTGCTTTAGAAAGTTTTTTTCACGATGACCCCACTACCTTCATAAATAACTACTTCTTCGGTTTCCGTGGTAAAGGGCTCACAACTTGAAATCAGTTACGTAAGGAGTAACTAACAATTTTTTGAAGCACAGTTAGCAGATTCACAGTAGGCAGACTTCGCTGTCAGGGACCATCCACTTGGGAAATCCTCAGATGACGATCGACCATCCGCTTGTGCTGCCTGGATTTCACGGTTGGTTGAAGTTAATTGCTCATGCTTCAGCGTTTCCTTAGAACGGGCGCAAACAGCTAGTTCAAACAGACCGTGATGCGCAAAATTTGGTTGTTCCAGTTGACCGCAGAGTCGAAGCGCAAAGCGCCTCGGATCTGGTGTTTTCGGACCCAAAAAACGCCATCCCATAGTACCAACAATTTGGGTTCGAAAACATCAGATCTGACGCGTTTTACGCTGTGTGCTCAGAACACAGGTTGTAGGCGAACATGTGTTCGGTGAGTTAAATTTATGTGATCAAATAGTGTTATGTTGGGGTCAAACAATTGTAACAAAGGGGTGGGGTAGGGACGCGTATGTCTTTAGTTCTGTTCTTCAGAGCTGAACTTATGTTCATGTATTACGTTAAATTGATAACCGATCACCTCAACGGGAAGAAAATTTTTGTCGTACATTGAGCCCCCTCACACCTCACACTCAGTTTCCTTACAGGCCAGAGTGATGCGTTCATAATTTTCCCAAGGATGAATTAAGCCGCGTTGCGATCGACGAATTGTCCCTCGATTACGACTATTGTTGTCTTAGTCGCAAATTTAGCCAAATGGAACTAGCAGTACCATTTGAAGTCCTAGGTGGGCAAACGACTGATCTTACACCTAAGTCGGTTGAAGATTTAGAACGATTCAAATCTTTATTAGTCACAGTTTGCTACCCATTTCGGCATCACCTAGCCCGCACTCGGGGCACTCTTACATGGAAGCATCTCGATGCGCTTGAAAAACTACAAAGTAAACCGCTAATTCTCCACAGTAGACCCGTAAAGGAACTGGCATCGTTGCAATTGATCGTGAAGTATAGACTTCTAAAATACTAACCTCACTGTAGGATAAATCAAATCGCAACCGAGATACCGAACTGAAAATACTTAACGGAAATCACAGGAACACTGAAAAGCCTCGGGGACCAAAGAAATATATCGACGAAAGTTTTTGAAATACTCACATCCGTGGGTTCTAATATACCTCGGCTATACGTTTTACCAAAAATTCACAAACCCACATGGTTCATGACAAACTCAGCCTATCACGCTACCGCCAAATGGCTAGTAGACGTTCTAGAAAAGTGCATAAAAACTTGCAAAAGAAACACATTACGAGACACTTTTGCATGCGTGGACGCTATAAAAGATCTAAATTTAGCAGGGAAATAAATGTTCTCTCTTGATGTTGTGTTCCTGTTCGCCAGCGCACCTCTGCTGCTGGAGACAGTAAACTGTATCTGCGAATTCATTACGAGTGAGAAAATACCCGTCGATGTACCATTTGAGAGTCTCAAAGAATTGTTGATACTCAGGTTCAAGATCAACCTGCAATTCTTGTTTTGGAAAACCTACCATGGCCAAAAAGATGGAGTCTCCATGGGGTCACCTTAGGGCACAATTAGAATCCGTTCCTCTGTACACAATCGTCAATAGCTTCGATCACTACTACAGATATGTGGGCGACATTGTTTGTATTTTCGATGACAATTTGGACCGCAACGATGCTTTGTTGAACCTCAGTTTGGCACACGCAGGGATAAGCTTTACAGTTGAGAAGGCAGAATATAACAACTTACTATTCCTGGGTGTTAAGTTAACGAGAAGTTTGGATGGCTCCATTCAGCGAAAGGTGCACCGAAAAGCCACATGGAACGGACAGCACACAAACTCCCACAGTTTTGTAGCGCTCGCTTACAAGCTTAACTTAGCGCACTGTCTTCTATTCGGAGCAAGATACATTTGCTCACAGGACACATTAGAAATAGAATAAGCAGTTGTGCGAAAGACGCTGTCAGAAAATGGCTACCTTAAAACGCTCATCAATCGCAACTGTTCTGAAAGAAGAAAACAGGTCTTTGCAAATTGAGCTGAGAAAAAGACTTTGATCATCACAATTCAGTTCAAGGCAGATCTAGCAGCTGAAAGGATTCAATGCTGCCAAACTCAGATGCGTGTTCTCCACGTCACCCGCCATGCAATGTCAAAACAAGGATAAGTTGCTTATACTTACCTCATCAATGCTCATTTACCAATTCAAGTGCACCCGTGGTGCCGCTTATGTAGGTCGAACGACAGGGCAGCTTAGACAGGGAGGAATCGGAGTTATTTCCAGTTCAATTGTTGCGCACTTGGTCGAAACTAGACACAGGGTGGATGCTAATTCAGCTTTTACCATCATCTATCGCGTCCTACTACACAAATGCAAGGCTGTTTGAATTAAAACGCTAGCAACAGCCCAGGTAATTACCATCCGCTTATTGAAGCCAGAATTATGGGCAAAAAAATACTTGTTCATGCACCTAAACTACTCTGACCCAAAGTGGACAACACTGAACGAGTTTTGTGGTGACGCAAATCAATTATCAACGCTTACGTAACCCGTTCCCATTTGAACAAGAGAACTAGAGATAAAGGTGTCCCTACTCCACGCCTTTGCTATAATTATTTGACCAAAACACAACACCCTCCCACTATTTTCCAACATAAATGTGATTGCATTGGCTTGATAGGGAACTCGCCGAAAGCCCTACGATTTGTGTTCTGTTTACGAAGATGGGCTTACCTTGTGACTGTATCGCATAACACTTATCCTCACAGATACGGCCTCACACTATCAGTTCAGTATATACAACCATTAACCATACACTATCAAGCACATTACAGTTAGCTTACCCTTTAACGTCCGGCGGGATTTACTCTCTAAGTTAGTATTACACCTTTTCCCATCAAGCCTTATCCAAAACCGGCAGTCATTTAGCATAAACCCAGTGTTTCAGCCACGATCCGTAATCCGTTAGCCTCGAAGCACAAACTTTGATCATATCGCTGTCGGAGAGTCAGATCAAAAATATCGAAATATCCTGAGGTCAACGAATGTTGGAAACATTTTATTTTCTAAAAATGTTGACGTTGTAAAGCTTGATTAAGAAATGAGGATTGGAAAAGATTTAAACGATGTGCCCGTATCGTCAGACCATTGGACAAATATTGTACCGCCTCATTGTTTCCATATGGCATGCGATAGTCCTGTGGGTAAACCTCTCAACCGTAGCATAAACATTACATTGCTTTGCATACACACGCCCTGAAGTATCTCGAAACGCGATACCACAAGGTAGTGAATGCTCACCGGTACTTATCTCCACTCAAAGTGAACTCCGCTCTTGACAATTGCATACATTAATAAAGTGAGGATAAGTAAGGATAAACACCGTCTACAAAAGAGACCCTTTTAGTACACCTTTTCCGATCAGGTTTTGGGCAAAGCCCACAAATCTTGAGTATCAACCATCGAAATTTTGTCAAATTTTGCAGCGTTGATAAACTGATAACCGTGATGGGGGTGTGATTTTGTGAACAGTGTTTATTATCCTCGCCCTATTAATGCATCCATATCTCAAGAACGGAGTTTACTTTAAATGGAAATAAGGAACAGCAAGCATTCACTATTTTGTGTTATCATGTTTTGATTCATGTGTATGCAAAACAATGCGATGTTCTTACTACATTTGAGAGGTTTACTTAAAGGAGTAGCGCATTTTAGATTTCCTTTGTAGTACCGCCATGCAGCTGTCGATTCATCGGAAATGGAGCTAAAGAAAAGGCACTATAGGTGGCAGTAATCTTCATTGTACATTACCTACGGTTATGCGCATCTGTAATATGGAGAATGTTAAATAGAATGAACTAAAAGGTCCCTATTGCTTCACCAGTACGGAAGACCGACGGAGATTAATTGAATGTGCACAGTGATGGCTTGAAAGAAGTCGTAAAACACCTGGGCATTAAGATCAAAACATGTCGTGCTTTTGCAGCCACGAATAGAGAAATAGCACCCAGACATGAATGTTACAAGGCGAAATTCAACGACGAGTGCACTAAACATTTGTGACCTAAATGAGAACCCTACCATCACACTGAGGCAGTTAAAGATGAGAATGAAGGACATATCGGGCATATCTATTGACAAGACTTCTATTGATCGATGGCTGGATGGACATAACTATTCGGCTGAGAAGCTAACCATCAAGTCCATGGAGCAGAACTCGAAAACTATCAAAGTAAAATGAGCGGAATATAGCGACTGGTTACAGCGATCGGGTGACGCAACAATGAGGCTGTTAATTGACGAGACCAACTACAACATATGATGCCGTCGCAGCTATGGACGCTCCAAAGTGGGCTGTAAAGCCCTTCGAAGCCTCCCATCCAGCAAAGGAACCAACTTGAATATAATAGCATGTTCACCTGTGTCCGGTATCTTGAAATATGAATTTCATACCAAGATTACTTGGTATGTTTTCAATGGATTTCTGCCAAGTTGCTCTATTTTAGTCATTGCTGAGAAACCGGGTGTTCTAGTTGTTTTTGCCTTCGACAATGCGCTGGTTCATCGGACAGCTTTAGATGCGTAGTTGCACGACACTAAAAAAGATTCCATTCCACCATTCTACCATTCAGTCCCTTTTGTAACCCACTGGAGGAGGTATTCAGTAAATTCAAACAGTTAGGAGTCTTTAATTCTTTAAGTCGTTTATTATTTAGCAGACTAAAACTGGTTCATTGAAAACACTAAAGCCAGATGAGGTGTGCCAAATGGTTTGACTATAAGGGCACATCGTCTAAACCTTCCCCAATCAATGTGTGGTGCGGCATTTGATATTATTATGATAGACAACTGTGCAGTATACGACCGCCACACCCATTTCCTAATCACACTTTGCAACATTAACAAGTGTGGAAAATAAAACGTTTCGACATTCGTTGACCTAAGAACATTCTGACACGTTGTGATCTGAATCGCCTACAACGATATGATTAAAGTTTGTGCGTTGAGGCTAAAGGTCTGAGGGCCATCGCTGAAGATTTGCATGTTTTGGCTAAAGGATTACGGCTTGAGGCTAAATGTCTGGGGTTTTTCGGCTAAGGCTTGATGGGAAGAAGTGTATACAAGAACAATCGATGAACTACTTGCAACTGAGGTAGTCAACCGCCATTTTCTTTGCGCTTTTCGGGAAGGGCGACCTCATACACAGTACTTGGATGAGTTCAATTTTCCATCCTGTGCGTTAAACTCACCTGCCAGCACAATAATATCAGAGCTGCAGACCAGAAGGATAAATCTGTTGCAAAACTCACTGTTTGTTGCATTGGGACTGCAGCTGGTCGGGGCATATAAACGACTTTCACTATTGTTTTCCTTACGAATACTGAACCCTAAATCCTAGTCGCACATAAACTAATATTGACGGTACTCCAGTCTATCATTAAGGCCTCAGCTCTGACGTTCATTACGGTACCTACTCCGTTATGACCTAGTGAGCGGGTTTTCTTGTCTCTTGATATAGGAAGCGAATACTTCGTGGACAGAAACAGCACCTCTAATTAACTTATACTACTGGCAAACTGGATTCTAATATTCGAAACGAAATAAAAATCGATCGCTACGGTTCAATTTATGTGCAAGACTAGTTTGTTGACCAGCCTGCATGGCAGTCCTTTCGTTGAAATCCCTTCCCGCCCCAGCGGTTGACGGAGATTCAGTATCCGCCATCTATGCCGGGGTGTATTACAACGCTGTTCGGTGGCAGCAATTGACAAAAGTGTTGACGAAGTGAATGTAACGGACCAAACAGTGAGACAAAGGTAGGGAAGAAAACAAAGACGAGCAGTATCCCACTTATGACTACCCAACGGGCTCGATACAATGAGCAGTGCGGTTCCAATGATCCTGTGCGACTACCGATGCAATATGAATGCCTTTTTGGTTTTCTATTTTTATTTGAGCTTTTCGGAGAGACACTGCTCGTCAGTTCAGCCAGTAAGCAGGAGAACGATTGGTGTTTTCGATCTTAACCTTTATTTCTGAAAAGAACCTGACCGCAAGGTAAAATGGAGGGTCGCATACCTGAACCGATTAATCTTCCATCAATTTACCGACTGAGATACCAACTGGAATGAAACCTCCAATCTGGAAGACGGAAATTTGTCTGAACTCTACCCGACGACTTTTCAGACATGATCAACAAAAGCAATCCGGTGTAGCTGGTGGGGTCCCAGAGGCGTACACGCCAACACATCAAAGTGCAGTCTCTTCGTGATGACACATTCCACGATACAATCGAATCTGGGTTGTTAGTAAACCAACTCGACTATGTTACGATCCTTGATTGGGGGACTGTGTTTACACTGATCTTAACCCTACTGATGCAACAAAAACCTCGAAAGATCAAGAGAGTTCTGTCTTGAAAGTCTATTTGTCTTTTGCAAAATTTTATGCAATGTCGATAGAATTATAATTGAACACATAGTAATAGCATCAGATATTAGGTGCATGGAATTCCGGCTTAAAATACACGTATTCATGTAATCCGAAATAAATACGTGTCGCACAGAGCAAAGTGAAATCCTAAACTAGTAGAGCGTCTGAAGGCATATGTGATAAGCAACGTTGGTGTGCCAAATTTTCCCGGCTAACCAATAACAATAATAAACAGTTATTGAAACCCCCGGTTCAAACACTTGAATTTGGGGAGTCGAACTGGATTTCAATTAAGTGAGAAGGGGCTATACGGTATCGATAGGAGTACCACATTTTAGCTGGTAAACTTCCGTATACTTCATGTCAGTCCACTTGTCCATTATTCATTCAACTCACACGTGGGACAAAACAATGATGCCTGCCTTAGCGGCTACAACCACAGCGAACCTCTCGATAGGCGGACCGAACCGAAACTTAGTGGGACGGCTTACTTGAGTACGTGGAGGCAGTCAATTCTAGATGGGCAGACTTGTTGTCTAATTGAATTACTATAACAGAAATCTGTCCAAAGAACAGGGATGAATAGATCCCTCGGTGGTATCCACATCGATCGAACGGAGAATAAGCTCCTAGGCAGCTAAATCGTGAACCGGTGCGCTCAAACGTTGCTCTCCACGCTGTGAACAGGTGCGCCTGAGAAAACATACAGGTGACACTTGGGACGTCTCTTGGAGTGAATTCCCATTAAACTTTGTTATCTTGTTTATACCCTTTAAGAGACCATTCCAGTAAAAAATCACTATTTCAATGGAGAGATACCAAATTATTCTCTTATTCAGATGTTAACTGTTGGATAGCGGACTGCTGATTTTTCTTCATTCTTAGCGCATCGCTTGGTTAGATGGGATTGGATTTACCGACGAGACAGAAACCAATCCATCCAAAATCACGGCTAAATGCAGCAGCAAATATACAGTACAATCAATTGAAGTTGCAACACGAAACGTCTACAGAGAAGGACAGTTATTCACTATCTGAAATCGTGAAATACAAAAATAATTTAACTCCTCTGTTCGGCACGGGTCGAGCAAGTATGCGACAACCTCGGATATTGGGGCTGGTCTGGACAATAGAATTGCACACATATTCCACATCAATCCAACTAGATGGATAGAACTGAATCACACATTTTCCACAACATTTCTGGTTCGCCTTCTCCTGTCCCGATCGAGACAATAGACGCGTTAATTCTTTAGCAAACCAGTTCATACGACATCCCGTTTCCGGATTACGGGAGTCTGATCTGTCTTTAGCGACCAGCCACTGAAGAAAAGAGATGGACACAATGTAATCGAACAAGTGATCACGAAATGGTATCAAATGAGGTTGGTGTTTCGAATCAGCACACGGCAGCACACGTCGAGTCAAATCGAACGATACACATTCGATTCTTGAGGAATACGACTTGCCGCCGAAAATATCGACACCCACCTTCAGTGGCGTGTATGAAGAAATTAAATTTGTGATGGGCAAGCATTCGTCGACCGGATCACCACAGCCCAAATCCAGCAGTAAGCAATCGTCAGCTACGGTAAACGGCAAGGCACCATCACCGGGGTTTGCACAGGTTAATCCTAAGCACGTCTCCAGCGCAAATCGGTACATGGCAAGTTGAATATCCGTTCGAGAGTAATGCGATCCCCGAAGTTTGTCTGTTATTTCATCGGAGTTGCTCCGCAGTTGGGCATACTCTGCACGTCGTTTTGGCTGTCGCCGATGTTCCAGCAAAGTAGGTGACTGAGGAGGTGTCGGAAAGGAGAGTGCGTAACGTGTTCCTAGACCGTTCAGGATAGACGACGGTAAGCGCGCTGTCGACCAAGGAACAAGCGGATAAATTATCAACCGATGAATACGTTTGTTTGCGTTCCGTATGAACAATTGGCATTGGCAAAACGTCAAAACGTACTTCATATGGAATACGCGGAATGAGACCTGAAACGGAAGAATAAAATAAAAAACAAATTCAGAACACCAAAGATATGGTGAACAAATTTGCTTTCTGTGCTTTATTTACTGGCCAAGCACAGCACATTATATAACTTGGAGAGACAACACAAGGGGACAGTCAAATCAGGCTTTTAGTATGTGAAAAAATAGGTATTTATGGGGTGATATTATTCCTGGAGTGCGAATGGACTGAATGCAAAAGTTCTACAAAACATTTTTCGGTGGATAGATCAAAAAGGATCTTGGAAGCATTCGCTGCATGAATGGATTTCTTTTGGTGTAAACCATCAAAAGCTCGTCTCTATCAACAGGAGTTTAATCTGCAACCAGAATCAGCCAGTATAAAACGCGAACCTTCCTACCCATCCCTTATTGAAGACAAGTTCCACTATATTTTATTGCAGTGTATTGTAATTTATACTTCTGTTGGCGCAGTGTCCAACTTTCAGTTAGAAATGTACGTGTCAGAGAAAAATAGTCCAATATCGAAACTTTTAAGAAAGTGTGATAAAATTTGTTCCTTGTTAAACGGAATACACACAAAAGAGAGTACCGCACAGTGACCATGTTCTTATGCTTGATGAGAATAGACAGTATTGGTATATGGTACACGGATAAGTGCAACAGGAAACTAAATGTGCGTGAAGCAAATGAGTGAGAGTTAGAAGAATCTTTGGTGTAAACTTTTTACTGGCATTCAAACGACATTCATACAGATTAGTTATCGACTCCTTCCTCGGGGTTGAAGAGGAATAGCTACTGCTGGCTATTCCGCACCGAAATAGCCTTGCATTAAGGGTGAATAATACAGTAGAAGGGGGAAAACACACTAGTACGCAAATATGGAAACGATCGATGGTTGAAGTTTGTGTACATGGCGAACGAAAATAGTCGAAGTTTAGCGTCAGTATGTTGAATGTGAGAGATCCAGTGAAAATTCGTAGGTGATAACACAAGCTGATCCCGAGAATAAGTTGTGTCCTGGTTGGTTAAGGCTTTGTCGGATAAGCATTCTGTTGAATGAAAACTCACAACGAACGATATAATTGGAAACAGGTCCGTTGAAAGCAAAACAAGATGAACGGAAAATAAACACAAGTGGAAAACTTAAAACCAAATACTGTGCACCAAAGTGAAGTCATCTTGATAGATTCCATTTCCTAATAACTGAAAGTTTAGATTTTTTGATTCTACTGAAGGCCCCATGTAGACAGATTAGTAATTGGCGTTCTCAAATCACTTGTGGGACAACAAGCGCAAATTAGGGCTCCTGACCAGTAACCCAATCAAAGAGCAGAGATGCAGTGAAAAGCATTTTGAAGGTCTTACTTTCAAATGCAAGAATGGCTCAGTCCAGCAGTTCTGTGTCCAACTAGCGTCACGATAATCCAATCAGAAACACATAAGTTCATATGATACACAAACGCAAGAGTGGATGAGTGTTCAGGTGTTTTATCATTATTATCAGCCGACTAACAGTATTACCACCGGATCGAAAAGTACGATTAAAATTCTACACTGCAGCAAATAAGTTGAGAGTTCATTGTCGAACCAAACGTGTGAGTAACTACGAGGAAATAGCTACACACTCCATATTCAAAAGAGCCGACAATAAGCAGCGATGTTGTGGAAAACAGTACACACGCGCCTTAGTGATATGTCATACGGCACGAATGTCATCTTTGTACTCCGCACGGACACTGCGGATTTTGCATCGGCTAGATAGAACTGCTGTTGAACAACAATGAGATTCGCGGTTTTAACTGGGATGAAAAACGATAATATTAGGATGAACGTCATTTTTACATTGATACAACCGGTAAGTATATCTGATAAACATTCACACTTTGAAAGAAAGCCCATAAATTGCCCACTCATTTCCGCCGCAACGATTTCCGGTTAAACGGTTTCCGATCAGTTGTACATATCTCTGCATAAATATCTCCGGAGAAACCTTGTTTTGAACAATAATGAAGCGAAAGTTCAGTCCATTCTCTACAGTTTATTTGCCCTCCAAACCAGACATTTACCAGATTCGTTTCCTACCATACAGGCACAAAACCGCGAAAGATTTTCTACCGAACGGATTATGTTTTCTTCAGGCAAACACGCCGTTCGATATAGCCATCATATTTCATGATCGGTAACGTATCTAGGAAATGAATCCGAGTTTCAATTTTTACAGCGAATTGCAAAGAGCAGAGTTGAAGTCAACGACCCAGAATGACATCAAAGGATCGATGATAAGCATGAAAACTCGGTTTCTTATTGTTCATGTGTTTTTGCACAGCCATTAAGAAGTCAGATACGATGGTACCTGAAGGAGATCGCATAACTGCACTAGTCTTCCATCGGTAAAAATAGGAACTCGACGTTGAATGCAAATCTAAAACAAGCTCTCGTTGAACCTAGATCGGTGGTGTAACTACTATCCGTTAGACACTGAGTCACTAATTACATCGTCAGAATGAGAGGCACAAGTCACAACTAACAAGTATATGATCTTAATCAGCACATGCACGTTTGTTGTGGCATCCGATAAGCGAAGTGTATTCGGGACCATGGACACAATTCGTACGGATCCTAGTCGCTTATTAGATCCCTTATCCATCCACTCATTTTGTTCAGGGTTCTTTATTAAGTTAGTGACTTATTGCTCCGAATAAGGGGTGATAAGCACGGCAGTTTGTTAGAACGGCTACAAACTCTTCAACGTATTCTGTCCTATTTATCAATGCGATATCGGCAAATTTATCAGAACAGAATAACATTTTACTGTGCTCCAGTAATCCTACCTGATCTAAATGTCTTTTTGGCCAAGTGGGCACTGTAAGATATGCATTATATACGTTAACAAGTGAACCCTCAACTGATCACAAATCGGCCTACTAGCTAGCCACTCAGTATTGTTTGTGGAGTTTTAAAATGGAACATCCATATAGAAAACACAATTCCCAATACTGCGAAAACAGAAACCCATAATAGAACTGCAAACAAGGTGTTGACAAATTTCACATTAGATAGAATATGGATGTAGCTCTACCGGTGGTCCAAAAAAGTGTATTGTGACACCTGATGGTTCAGTTTATGCGTAAGCTGATGGAGTTGCCTTTCTTTTCGTGGTTGAATTGGTGAACATGAAGTTCAATCGCACACTATCCACACTGAGGCAATTATGGTATAGTTCGTTCAATTATCGAGAGTTTCCATCATAAAATATCACATTCGTATAAAACTTTACTCCTCAGAACTCAGGAACGCAAATATCGATGATAGCACAGGGGCTCTGGGTGTTGAACTATTCGCGGCGGCCATGGAAACTGGTGGACATTCGGATGATTGCGGACTATTGTCTGACTCGTTTGTAAGGGATTAAGAGAAATCAAAACCAATAAACTACCAATCAGTTAGAACCACCTATGCGGTGGGCTATTTGCTGAAGTTGATAGCGAGCGAACACATGGAATGATACCAGCGATTAACTCATTGCCAGTATGGTTACAAACAACGAAGATCGTGTGCCAAATATACTAACGGCATGATAGAACTGGGCAGAAGCGACGCCAGGGGCGTCATCTTCGTAACCCATCCTTCCATTCACCTGTGCAACTTAATGGGTGAACCCTCAAACACCTTGCTGTCGTTTCATAAACCGCGACGTCACACCGTCTGCTTACATCAGGACTGCATCACGAGCGGCAGGTCGTTAGTTTATGCAGTGACATATAGGGTCCGAGAGGGCAGGACACCGCTGTCCACAGTTTACACTTGGGGATACTTTTATTTTTTTTATTACACACCTTAGTGTGATGAACAACAGACGGGGCGAACCCCATAGTCACAAAGACCTGCCATTCAGTCACAGAAGCCGGAAACCTAAGCTCTGTAACCATCACTGCGAGACTACTCCATCGCTAAGAGACTACACCTTGACGTGGTATGACGGCTTGTGCACCTATGTGACCCAACGAGCTATACAGGATGGCTTTATAAAGCCAGGAGATCTTATCATGCCTGGAAGGCCGAAAGGTAGAGGTCGGACGAAGTTCAGTCTACTGGTCCTCCAGGTTGGGGGTTCGCCTGGAATTTGGCGTTTCAATCGATAAAAAGCAGTGGAAGAGTAATTGATCCAAGTAAATGGGCCTCCACTTTGCCTCACCCGCTGTCTTGCGGTTAGGTTCTTGTAAGAACTAAAGGCTTTGGGCGAGAACCCCAATCGTTCTCCTGCTTAGTGGCTGGACACGGTAGCAGTACCCGTCCACCAAACCCCATAGCATACACAAAACAAAAATAATTTCATACTGCATCGGTCGTCGCGCAGGAGAATCAGGACCGCGCTGCTCATTGCATCGAGCGGGGTGGGTGGTGATAAGTGGGCTACTGCGCAGATATCCCAACCTTTGTTTAACTCTTTGTCTTCCGTTCCCAACCCTATCCCTTTACCCCTTCTATCGTCCTGTAATAGTCCCTCAAGCAACTTGGATGTCGCTCGCCAAAGGTCTTTGCCAAATAGCACTGCAAGTGATTCACCGCGGAATGGATTGCAGATTCTAAAGCCTCGTCAATCACTAAATCTGAGGACTTTGATGCAGCTAGGTCAACAAGCTTATCTGGCTCGTACAATGGAATCCTTAGTAATCGATATTTGCTGCGTGTCGGAAACTCGAATCCTTAAGCTATGTGCGCCTCAACGTGACGATGTAGACGAGCAATGGGATCAGATTAGGCGAGCAATGCATTCCGCAGCGAATGTTGCTTGTGGGTCTGAGCCT